GGTATTTTTCCAACAAATCTTAAACAAGCTAAAGTAACACCTATTTATAAGAAGGGTGACAAAGCTGACCCTAATAATTATCGTCCGATTTCTATCTTACCAACGCTATCAAAATTGATAGAAAAGCATGTAGCTAAGCAAATACAACAGTTTACTAATGTCTTTGATCTATTAACACAATCCCAATCAGGATTTAGAGAATTCCATTCTTGTCAAACTGCACTCACAAAACTAACAGAAAGTTGGCTAAATGCAATGGATCGTGGTGAACTAATTGGTATTACATTTATTGATTTCAGTAAAGCTTTTGATTTAGTAAATCATGATATTCTTCTACAGAAATTAATTCATTACAGGTTTGACCATTTGGCTATTAAGTGGTTTAAATCGTATCTTTATAGCAGGACGCAACGTGTAAAAATTGGAACATGTGTTTCCGATATCCTACCCGTCACAGCAGGAGTGCCGCAGGGTTCAATTTTGGGTCCGCTTTTATTTTTATTGTACATAAATGATCTTTCATTACATGTAAAAAATTCAAAAGTTGACATGTTTGCTGATGATGTAACGCTACATACTAACAATCATAATCCAAAATATCTAGAAAATGTGTTGAACTCAGATATTTGTGAAATTGAAAAATGGTGCTCTCAAAATCAAATGGTATTGAATGTAGATAAAACAAAATGTATGTTAATGGGCACGCAGCAGAGAAAATCCAAACTAATCCATCCAAACTTACAACTGTATGCTTCAGACAAAATAATTGAGATGGTTGAGACTGAGAAACTTCTAGGTATACACATTGATGATAAATTACAGTACTCTGTTCATGTAGACTCAGTTTGCAAAACCTTAAACTACAAGTTATTTACATTACGCAAGATAAAAAAATTTCTTCCCTTACATACCAGAAAACTGTACTACAATGCATATATTCTACCTTCAATTAATTACTGTTTGACTCTTTGGGGAAATGCACCCCAAAACAGTATTGAAAGAATATTTAAATTACAAAAAAGGGCAGCTAGGATTATTCTCGATGCAAGTCCTGATTCTTCTTCTAAACCATTGTTTGAGAAACTTGGCTGGCTGACAGTTTATGAGCTAGTTGATCTATACAAATACATTTTATTATTCAAAATATTCAATGGTATGACTCCTGAATATCTTTGTGAGTTATTTGAATTTCACTCTTCAACTTCTTATAATCTTCGATCTGAATCAAACTACCATCTTAGATTACCAAAATTCCGTACAAACATATTTAAGACCTCTTTTCAGTACTCAGGTGTACATCTGTGGAATAAACTACCACAACAAATCAGGCTTTCTCAGTCTCTACAAGCTTTTAAATGCAAGGTAGAAAATTACATTGTTAGCAGTCGAATAAATATCTGAGCAAATATTTCAATATTTTTTTTTCTTTTCAATTTACTACATGTATTTATATTTAAATACTTGTGTTTATGATTGTTCCTTATTTATATGTAATTATTATCGGACAAAGACAAACTCTTGTTTGCAATATGTTAATTTGTATATTTGTATATACATAATTATATGTATCTGTACTTAATATCTAGAAGGCCCTGGGGAAGAATAGTGCATGCACTAACCAGGTTACCTTCTTTAAATAAAGTATTATTATTATTATTATTATATTATTATAGTAGAATCGAGTTAGGTCGTTTGATAATAGTTAGATAATGCATTGAACAAAATACTGGATTTGAAAAATAACAGAAAGGTAACTTAACTTTTCTGAGCACAGATACTGACATGTGATAGCTGAGTTCTAACTTGTTATAACATCAGATATTGACATGTCATGACATGATATAGACGTAATCTCCCACATATCTGAAATATTAACCTGTAATTACTTGAGATACTCATCCTCAGTTGAGGTTTGGTTTTGTAAGATTTGTTCAAAACACTCAAATACACTTGCCACTAATGGCTTCATGGTGTCCCCTGTTGTTAGTCGAATGTTTCCAAAACCTGACAAAGGAATGTGACGAATCCGAGGTAACGTTGTTGTCTGTTGATCGCATCTCTTCTTTGCCTATAAGAATATTTACACCAGCAGGTCAACCTTGGAACTGTATGGGATATAAAAAAAATACTAACTATGTTGTTGGTGCAAGAATTTTATTTAAGTAATATGCGCTTAAGAATTTGTTCTTGTTATAAGAGACTCTATAATATTGAGCAATTCATGATTTCCTCAGTATACTTAAAAAATACGAGTATGCATAAAATATGAAGATAATGAACAGTATCCAATCTCAAAAGTCCAATAAAACGATACAAATTTGGAGCAGAGCAAACACAGACCTCAAAATTTAGAGGTGGGATCAGGTCCCATGGAGGAGTGAGCATCCCCTGCCGACCGTTTACACCCGCCGTGTGCTCCTCGTCATGATCGGAGTAAAAAATCGGAAAACACGTAGACAGTTCAGTGTATAAATATGGCCTAACAATTAGTATGAAAAACGTCAGTCAGCTTTTGAATCAATGATAGGTTTATGTGCTGACAAGGTCATTGTATCGACCGAAAAGTTGCGAAATGATGACTTCAAACGAACTTCTTAAAATCCTTGTTTCATCAACTTGTTTATCAATAGCTTGACTCGTTTTAGAAATTGTTCATACGTTGAGAATGCTCTTGCGTATCGAATCAATTGAGAGACATGAACCCCATATGCAGGTGATAAGGGTTTATTGCTACATAAGTAAGGAGAGTTGACGATTGAAATTTAAAGTCAACATATTGCATCAGTTGCACATTATTATTTTTTGAAAGTCCAATTAAGAGCCCTCTATACACTGCAACCTAAAGAGTTTTGATTTTGTGGAATTTTTATGCAAATAGAGTAACCTGCCCTTTGATTAATACGGTAGATTCTTTATTTTCGCTAGTACTTATTATCGGGAAATGGCTCTTTAACGTCAAATCTCGAGAACAATAATTCGCGAGTGGGCGGCTGATTTGGAGATTTTACATTGATTTCATCACCATAAAAATAAAATCGAGTAATTTTATTTCGCGAGTGGTGATTCTCGCGTAATTACGCGATAATTAATTCCTCGCGTATATTTAGGAATCTACAGTAATAAAATAAATTGAAATATACTTTTTATTATCTAATTTGTAATCAAATCAGGCATTCATAACATTTTAAGAGGCCAAGATGAATAAAGTGAACACTTCATCTGCAGGTATTTTTCCCACTTAAGTTAACAACAGTAATTTCTGTTAATCAGTACTTTATTGTCTTTGAACATTTGTCCTGGGGGTAAATGTAAGGTACCCTTTGATGAAAATGTGATAGACAAGCTCAATATTTACACTTTAACACACTGTAATTTTCTCAGCGTCCAAAAAATCTTTTCCTCGAGTGTATAGAGGGTCCTTAATCAACTGCTTTTAATATGACAAATTAACAGGGCTCTTATTTATGAATCCCTCCACTGCCACCTGCCATTCCTATAAATCTTCAAAAAATGAAGAATATTAATTTTAAATCTTTTTAATCCATACTGCAAGCACAAACAAATTCAAATTATGAAGTACCTTTAAAATCCCCTTGCACCTATTGCAGAATAACATATCTGAACTTTGCCGTTTGAATCAAAACATTAGACAGTCTGTCACAAATATATGTTCCACATTTGGAAAATTCTAGGTCCTTCAAACTCTTTTCATTAATGCACTTGGCTACATTCATCATATGGTCTTTTGTTGACATTGATTTTGACAAGGTCAATATGTCCTCTAGGTTGTCCTCAGTAAGATTAAGAGTCAGGCCCTTCAAATAATCCTCAAGTTCCTGTACAGTGTCCCCTGCTGGTGGGATTCATCATTCTGTAAAATATAAAACAAGGCATTTTCTTCATCACAATAACCAAACAGTACAGTTAAGGTGCCCAATGGAAATACCATTATTACGATTATTAATAATATTATTTAGTAGGCAATTTGAATTGATATCAGCAGCATATTAGCTCTCTATGGAAAAGTTTGTTATTAAAACTTAAAACAATACACTTTAATGAACTGTTGTTAATAATAAATGGTCTTATCAACTTCAACTCTACTTTGCTTTATATTACATCACAAAGAGCAGTCCTTGGTGCCAGTCATTCAGGAAAATTTTAATTACAGACCAAAGAACGAGAATTTCATTGACTTTCTTCCGATTTATCAGACAGCTTTGTGTATTTTTACTGAGTATTTTAATACAGATCTTTAAATACCTTTCTCAAACTATGAAGAAAATAACCTGGCAGGTAGATTACACAGTAATGTAAGTCATGTGACCTAAAAACACCAATTGTGTTGGATTTCAGTTGCTAAGAGGAGTCGCCATTTCTACCCTTGTTGACAGGTAATAATTATGTGTAGAATTATTTTAAATTCTAGATTTTTTTCCTTAAAACTCATAATTTTATTTATTATCTATATATGCATTAACCGTTTTGTAATCAAGGCATTGTGTTAAAAGGTTGGTATTTATGTTCCTACAAAAGAATGTGTCTAACAGTCAGGGAATCATAAATAAACTTGTAAAATCCATGGACAGCTTTAAGTATCTGCAATGATACAGAATGTCACATTTATTTAAATTCATATACAAAAGAATTATTTCTTAATGCTAGTGTTTTGGGTTGAGAAGTCAATAAATCAAACATGTCATAACTTGTTTGTCTATATTCAACTCATAACAATTAAAGCCTGTTTGTTTATATAAAATTTACATTTTACAATGTCTATTGCCATACCAGTAAAATCTTATAAATTATATTATTGTAGTATTTTTATGCTCTATTTTGTCATTCTGTCAGAATATTAAATCCATTATTAAGAGAAAAGTAAACCAGGAGTCGGAAAAACAGAAAGATATACATATCTCATAACCAAGTCTTAAGGATATAACAAATATTTATCAATAAAAAAAATCATAATTTCTGATTTTCAGAGCCAAACGCTAATCATGGACCCCCGTACCAGTGCCCAGGATGTGATGCGATGTGACCTGTGTGAGACTGCTGCAGTACAGATGCACTGTGATACATGCCTCGTCAACCTGTGCAAGGGATGTGTGGGAGAACACATCTCAACTGAAGAATCTAAGGATCATAAAGTGGTCAAATTTCAGTCTAGGAAATCAACTCCCCTTTACCCTGAATGTGCCTCCCATGAAAAAGAAAAATGTGAAATGTACTGTAGACATTGTGACATTCCTGTCTGTCAAACTTGCCTGGCATCTGATCAACATCTTGGTCATAAGTTATCAAAAATCTTGCATGTCCTGGGTGAAAAGAAAGACTTGATCAGGAATGAGCAAAGTGAATTAAATGAAACAATATATCCCACCTACCAGGACATTGCAGTTGATGTACAAAACAGAATGAGTCAGTTAGAGAAGGAATATGGAGATCTCTCAACAGCCATCACAAAACACGGAGAGAACTGGCACAGAGAAATTGAAAACCTTGTCAGAAAACTTAAAACTCAAGTTGATGAAATGAAGAACTCACAGTTACAAACTTTACAAAAACATCTGAATGAAATTAACAAGAACATTGTTGCCATTAAAGCTGAAATTGATTTGCTTGATATTGCTGCAGATTCTAATGACATTTCATCTCCACTCAATGTGAGATCTAATGTGGATCAATATAAAAACCTTCCACAAAAACTTGTTCTGTCTGTACCTAAATTCACTCCAGGGACAATCCAAGGGGAACAACTTTGTAAACTGTTTGGGACTTTATCATCAATTTCACTTACAGCAGATGATCAAGGATACAGTATAAAAACAACACAAAGATCACCAAAAGATGAATCTTCTTTTGTCGACCAAACATCACCAGAAATTGGATGCCGACAACGAGTAAAAAGGCTAAAGAAACCAATGATTTCCGAAAAATGTATTTCATGTTCAGGCTTCCTTAGAAGTGTTGCCTGTTTGAGAAATGAAAAGTTCTGGACAACTATGTTCAGCAATACCATGACACTCTACAGTTTCAATCAGGATTCACCACTCAAACAAATCACAACAAAGTCAGGAAACAGGCCTTTAGACATAGCAGTGACAAGAAATGAAGATCTTGTTTACACTGATTACACGGATAGGAGCGTCAACATTGTGAAAAATGAAAAGACAAAAATAGAGGAGGTGATCAGACTAGAGAACTGGAAACCTCAATGTGTCTGCAGTACCTCTACGGGTGAGCTGCTGATTACCATGGAAAGTGATGACAAGAGACAATCAAAAGTTGTTCGGTACTCTGGCTCCGCAGAGAAACAATCCATACAGTTTGATGATAAAGGTACACCTCTCTATTCATCTAATGGATCTACTAAATACATCAGTGAAAACAGGAACTTTGATATATGTGTAGCTGACTGGGGAGCTAAAGCAGTAGTGGTGGTCAATCAGGCCGGGAAATATAGATTCAGATATAAGGGATATAATCTTGTTCCAAGAAGATTACCACTCAGTCCAAAAGGAATCACAACAGACAGTCAGGGTCACATCCTTATAAGTGATGGGAACCACGAATGTGTTCACATCATAAATGAAGATGGAAAGTTCCTAAGTTACATAAAGTGTCAATCTTTACCTTTTCTACTACGTGGATTGTGTACTGATACAGAAGACAATCTGTTTCTTCTTAGTTGCAAAGTATCAGGAAAACAAAGCACTACAAAACCAAACAATACTGTTATTTCAAGTCAAGATTATGTAAAGAAAATTGAATACCTGCAGTGAAACCATGCATACACCCAGTGTCCAAGTTGTTAAATTAAGTTAAGTTCAAAACTTGATTTGAATTACTTCACAATAAACTTTTGAGATGTTTAAAATTTTCACTAAATATATTATGTTTTTAAATACAAAAATGTCTTATATATCTTAAATAAGAATGTAACCCCCTCCCCTTTCCCGGTATAAAAATATGATATGAACAGGAGAACATCCACTGTCAAGGGTTGGCTTTATTTTACAATAAACATTATCAAATAAATTATAGAAATGTAAAAATAATTCCTATATTAGTTTTTTAATTGGATACAATATTTTAAAACAATGCCTGTGATAAAAAATTGAAATAATGCTATTAGAGGATTGTATAGCATATACACTTGTCATGAGACATGAGATGTAAGAATGCGATTCATGTCATCGTGAAATGTGCCGAAAAATATTTTTGCTCCAGTGGGAGCACTGATAAAAATACCTATAATTTCTGCTTCAAAATCTCATTCAAATAAAAGAGATGCACACATGAAGCCTGATACAATAATATTAGGTTTAATTGTTACTGACTGTCCAAAGAAATTTGGTAGGTTGTTCAAGTCTATGAAAGGCTGGACGAAGCAGTCAGTAAAAAACCTATGTTTTATTTTGTTGAGGACCAATAACAGTTTTAATCTATTGAGATCAATAATGATTCAACAGTTTTCTCTAGAGCTAACAAACAGATGAACACTATTGGACAGACATGAACATCCTGCCATAATATGTATTGTCTTTAATGAGTGTATAATAATAGTTTTATAATGATTGTATTAAATGTATAACAAAAAATATTTGATTTCTTTGAAACAGAATGCCTTTCTGGTATAGGCAATGTAACAAAGCCAAACTAAAGCATTTAGTAGCTTTTTTTTTTTTTTTTTTTTTTTTTTTTGAAAAGGGAACAAATCATAGTTTATCAAGTATCGTTTAAACATTGCGTTTGCTGCTTATTTTATAGATAATGCACTCGCTGATTGCATAGTAACCTTTAAACTTTTTCTATCTCTTAATTATCTATCATATTTGTAATCATATAGCATAGACAACACAAGCTTCTGTTTGCTTAATGTAACTGTACCTACTGCATGCTTTTTCTACAAAGAAATAAAAAAGACGATTTTCAGTTCAATTTTTCCTCCATAAAAGATTTGTTGCCATCACTGGAATGGTCATAGTTTTTCAAATGTTAAACTCAATTAATATTTTTGTATATGAAAACGCAAGCAATAACAAACCTAACCCAAATTCAAATACCGTATATCCGGGGGGGGGGGGGGGGGGGTTGGCAATGATTTATTATTCGAATTTTTGCGATCATTTTTAATTCGCAAAAAATTAAACAGGCAGAAATTATGTTGGCTATTATGTGCCATAAAACATGACCAATTTTGAATTTTATTATTTTTTTATCGTAAAAAATAACTTACGCCAAAAACAAAACTGTACAAATCTTCCCCTTTTTCGCAAAAAAACCGGATAAACGGTAATTTTTAATCCATTGTATGCATTACTTTCAAAGTGTAATGCATAATTACAATTGCTAACGCTTAATTATATACCAGTTTTAAATTCCAATGCAATATTTTGTAAAATTTAATGCATATTTCTGCAAACACACAGCTTATCTGGAGCTCTGAAATATGTTCAGTAGACTTCTTCATTACTTGAGACAAAAATAAACATATCAAACTAGAGCACAGCTCGTTGCAGAGCAACGAGTAGGTCTCCATTGAAGCTTCGGACAGGAAGAGGTGACCTTGATTCAAGGTCATGCCACACTCAATGGTTATAAGCAATCTTGTAAGGGGTATCACCTTGCAATGTTTCACCAGTAGAAAGACAGTAAAGGAATGTACAGCTTTTGTCGGTGACCTTGAACTCGTCCAAATGACCTTGCGTCAAGCCATAACACACTCTGGATATGAGCAAACCCCACCAATGTGTTATCGACTTGACAAGTTAACACATGTTCTTTCAGACCATTCATCGAGCCAAAACATATTTTCCTCAGTGACCTTGAATTGAATCAAGGCCATGATACACTCTGCATGACATCAGCAATACCTTTCTGTGTGTTTCCGACAAGTTCACACATGTTTTTTTTTTTTTTTTTTTTTTTTTTTTTTTCAGACCATACGTCAAAATAAAATAACATATTTTCTATCGTCGTTATTTATTGGGTTCAACACTCTTCTTTAAAGGTTCACTGTATATGTTTCATGCCCAATTTGGATATCGAACAAAGTTTGTGTTGTGAAACACTGATGACTTCATATGGCAGCTTATGGCAAAGGTTAATATTTCTCAAATGCAACTTCATGGTCAAGGTCAAGAGATAAAAGAAATATATCCAAAAAAGGTCTTGACACAGAAAATATCACTGTGAAATGTGAAAGCCGTAGTACAAACCATTCAAAAATTATGGCCAAGGTTATCTTTTTTAAAAGAAGGTCTAACTCCAAGGTCAAGGGCAAAGGGTAATAATTGTTGGTACCCAAGAGAAAATCTTAGTAGTATAAAAAGCCTTAGCAACAACAGCTCAAAAGTTATGAGGGTTAAAGTTTTTCAAAAGTAGGTCATTCTCCAAGGTCAAAGGGTACAGATTCTTGGCTTATAAAGAAAGATCTTGTCATAAGAAATACACCTGTTAAATATAAAGCCCTATTACTAGCCATTTAAAAGTTATTGCCGATGTTAAAGATTTTAAACCGTAGGTCAAACTCCAAGGTCAAGGTTAAATGGTCAAAATATTTATACCTAAGGAAAGGTTTTTTCACAAGAAATACAGATTTGAAGTAAAAAAGCCATAGCACCAACTATTCAAAAGTTATGACCAATGTTAAAGTTTGGTGAAATTTGGAAAAGTAGATCAAATTCGGGGGTCAAGAGGTCAAATATGTTGGTACCTAAAGAAAGGTCTAGTTACAAGGAATACACATATGAAAAATGAAAGCCAAAGTTCCAACCAATCAAAAGTTATGGGCAAGGTCAAAGTTTTGAGGACAAACAGACTAACCGATAAATAGAGAGGCGGCCAGGACAAAAACTGTATGCACCCGGATTTTCGACTACAGGAGCATAAAAAAATGTTGATGTCTAAGGGTTTCTGCGCTGGCATTAAATCTGAAAATCCTACTGTACAAAGGAGTGCAAGGTGCTTTAAGATACGCTATTACCTCAGGTTCTATATCGCAGACCTTTCAACAGGATGAAGAGGAAGTCTGTGAGCTAATGCTAATTAATAATACCTCCGTTCTCATGTGAACTGCGATTAGTAGTTGCCGAGACAGACGCACGGATAAACAGGAAGTTGAATTAGATTCGTACAAAAATGAATCCCACAGTATGGCATGCCTAAACAACGAATGTGCTAAAATTTCAAGCATCTGCAATGAGTAGTTGCTGAGAAAACTGCAATGAAAATTTGTTACGGACAGACACCTTCGGACAGACGCACTGATAAACAGGAAGTTGAATTAGATTCGTACAAAAATGAATCCCACAGTATAGCATGCCTAAACAAAGAGTGCTTAAATTTCAAGCATCTGCAATGAGTAGTTGCTGAGAAAACTGCAATGAAAATTTGTTACGGACAGACACCTTCGGACAGACGCACGGATAAACGGGAAGTTGAATTAGATTCGTACAAAAATGAATCCCACAGTATGGCATGCCTAAACAAAGAGTGCTTAAATTTCGAGCATCTGCGATGAGAGTTGCTGAGAAAAAAGTGACGAAAATTTGGTAAGGTCAGACGCACGGATAAACAGGAAGTTGACGTCGGATTCCTACAAAGAAGGATCCTACAAAATGGCATGCCTAAACAAAGAGTGTACTAAAATTCAACCATCTGCGATGAGAGTTGCTAAGAAAACTGCGACGGAAGTTTGTTATGAACAGACAAAAAGACAGAAACACACACACAGAGAACCACATCGGTTATCAAATACCCTCCTCTCCTTCGGAGCGGATGTATAAAAATTTAATCCAGTATTTAATTAGCTATGCCTAATTACATGTAATTACATGTATCTATGTTGACTTCATAAGGATAGTCTTCATAATAAGTGTGTGTGTGTGTGGGGGGGGGGGTGTTTGTGTGTGTGAGGGTGTGTGTGTGTGTGTGTGTGTGAGGGTGTGTGTGTGTGGGTGGGTTTGTGGGTGGGTGAGGGTAGGTGTGTGTGTGGTGAGGGTAGGTCTTTTCAGTACATTTTTGCTGGGATTTGCCTATGTATGACCGTACAACCAAGCAGCAACTAAATCAAAATTAACATTGTAAAACTGCAGCAAAGAACTATTTTCAGAAAAGTCCGAAGAGCACTCTTCCCCTTATTGCGTACTATGGACCTGCGAAAAAAATGCTGTCCCTACATTTAGGATCCTAGAACACCAGGAAAGAGTGGCAATAAAAAAGAAAAAAAGATCGTTTTTTCCAGTCTATAAGTCGAATCAAAATATCTTTCCCTCAAGTCTTTTTTTTCCCTTAAGTTCATCCCAGTTTGTGTGATTTATTTCATATATTTTACGTTCTGTACCGGACTTGGAAAATAGTAACATCATTAGGTTTTTGAGCTGACCTTGAAGCCCGCAGAAGAGATTGTCTGTTTTACGATAAACTCAAATAATAAATTGAAGTTATATGTAATTCGGTATTAATTTTACGTTGAATATTTTTATGTTGATTTCATCAGGAAATATGAGAAAATTTTTAAAGTAGTGTTGTTTTTAGATGAATTATTTAATTTAAATTTGTATCTCAATTCACAGTGGGAAAGAAATCATAAATATTCAACATTTTTGGCTAGCAAATATATTCAAAAAGCAAGTCAATTTCAAAATCATCGAAGCGTAGTGGCAGAAGCATTTTTATGAAGGTACTATCATTACTAAAGTTATGTTCTGGGTTCTTCACCAGATGTTCCCCTTGTAATACCTAATGTGCCCACACCTTACCCGGGAGCCATCCTTCC